GGTTCGGATTTTGATTCACCGATAAAACTAACAAGCAGCTTTGTAGCGCCTCGAAAGCTCTATGTTTTGACTGCGTTACAAAAATTTTCACATTGATATTTGTAGCCTAGGTGAGTCATCTTTTTTTTCCAACTGTTCAAAAATCAAGCTTTTTGAACTCATCATTGTGGGATTCTCGTGAAACTGATATAAGTCAAGCAAAAATCAATATTTGTAGCTTCGCTACATTTTTCATTTGAAAAGAGTGACCAAGACATTCGATAATAATTTCCAAATTTGAATTGCAGTCTTTTTTCCCGATGTTACCGAGTTACTACGCAATATAAGTAAAGCTAGCGCACCTATGCTCAACTCAGTATGATGTCGCAATTGCAATGGCTTACGTTTTTGAAACTGATTCCACTGTACATCACGAGAAAGAGCACACTTAATTGTTCTCAGAAACTTGTTAGGCTGTGGTTTCATATTTATTCAAGAGCTAGAAAATAGGCTGAGCCGTTTCGGAGATTGAAAAAAAGAAACTTTTGAAAGTTGAACCTCTTGGAGCATTTCAGTATCATTTCTCTAATTTTTAGTCGTAAGGTCTTATCGAAGGATCTTTGATATGTTGTTGTAGAGAATTGAATGCTGAATCTTCTGAAAGAAACTCGAAGTCTTTGAGATGGAATTCAAGACCGATACCGATGAAACAATCAGACCATCATTATTTATGGCCCACCCGTTACTTGTAATAAAATACAAAATAAACTTGCGAAAAATGAACAGAGTTCAATGCTGATTCTTAGACTAGCAAATTAGGCTCAACTTAATTGGGGTGTCAAATCCAGAATTTCACACACTTTCTTTCGAGAAACCAATTAGAAATCCAGATTCCTTGATCGCGAAAATATTTTATTAACGTATGTACAAGAACATTTCTTCATAAAACAAAGCATAGCTGATCAGAAAATCAAACCTACAAGTTTCAGTTATCAGTTACCTGACATTATAACACGAATAGCTAAAAATTGACCGGTGCCACCGGCCCACCGTACCCCCGGTGCACCGATACTACGGTGAACCGCCACCGGTGCATCCCTAGTTCAGATGATACCTTTGAGTGGCATACGAAGATCGAGTGGCTGAAGATCTGTTAATTTTATTACTCTATAAGGTAGTGTGTAATACAATCAATAAAAATCAGTCAAAACTATTTAATTACTTTTAACAAGCAACCATTCAGTATTTAATTAGTGATTAACTTTTATATGAACTAGCTCAGCTTTTCTCGAGATTACAGGAATCTTTTTCTTCACTATATTAGAATATTTCCATAAATTTTTGATAGAGATAGTACAGATATCCTTTAGAGATAAATAAACACCTTTCTACTAGTTGATTTTGTTTATAGTGTATTTCACTGATATTTCTATTGATGCTCGATGGGCTCAAAATGGTATCACTATTGTTGGAGGATGTGAAGCGAGTGAAGCAACGAATCAGCTCCACAGTCCTTTGGGACTCTATATTGATGAAGAAGGAACAATGTTTATTGCCGATCAAGTGAATCAACGTATTGTCCAATGGAAATCGGTTGCCATGAGTAGCGAAGTAGTTGCTGGCAACAAAGGAAAAGGGGATCGATTGGATCAGTTGAACACTCCAACGGATATGATCGTTGATAAAGAGGGCAATAGTCTCATCATCTGTGATTGGGGAAATAAACGAGTTATGCGATGGTCTCTTCGAATTGACACAACGAATGGAGAAATCCTTATCTCTAATATTCGATGTTTTGGATTGACAATGGATGATCAAAGATTTCTTTATGTGTCTGATCAGGAGAAACACGAAGTAAGACGATATAAAATAGGAGAGACGACAGGAACTGTGGTCGCCGGTGGAAATGGCAAAGGAGATCGGCTAAATCAACTCAACTGGCCCCGTTACATCTTTGCCGATCAAGATTATTCTGTCTATGTCTCGGACTGTTGGAATCATCGTGTGATAAAATGGACGAAGGGTGCAAAAGAAGGAATTGTTGTCGCCGGTGGTCGAGGAGAAGGAAATGCTCTAAATCAGTTGTCTTTACCTAACGGATTGTTCGTCGATTCATCAGGAAGTGTCTATGTGGCAGAGGGAGGAAATAATCGAGTGACATGTTGGCGTAAAGGAGCAACTCAAGGAGAATTGGTTGTTGGTGGAAATGGTGAGGGTTCCAGACCAAATCAATTTAACTATCCGGGAGCTTTGTCCTTCGATTCCCATGGTAATTTGTTCGTGGTTGATAATAGCAATCATCGAGTTCAAAGTTTCTCATTCGAAAAGAACGAATTGCTGTGAAGTTTGACTTTCTAATGTTTGCTTGCTTGTTTTTTTTTCAAAATTGAAACAAATTGCTTTCTTATCATCGCTTTATTCGACAGTCTCAAGAGATATTTCACTACAAAAACGCGCGAGCGATCAGAAAACATTCTTGTGACACTGTAACTAAACAAAAAAATCATATGATGCAGCTAGAGGGTGTGGGTGTGTGTGGGTGTGGGTGTGTGTGGGTGTGGGTGTGTGTGGGTGTGGGTGTCAGTGTGACTGATTCTCTCCTGTCAGCACCCATAGCCACACCACATCCTCACATCGCCCCACACCCACACCCCCATAACCCACTGAGCTCTGCAAAAGAGGATAACTTTCGATCGTTTTAAGGAACTCAAATGTTCTCGTGGTAGAAATTCCACGAAATAGGACAAATACAAACTTCAATTTATAGGTAGACTAAAAGACGATGACTATTTAAGAAAATGATCAAAACAACACATATAGCTACTAATGCTAATATATCTAGGAGTTTTTTCGAACACTGGAAAGATACACACATTAGGTTCTTTTTTCGTTCAGAACATATGAGAGCTAAAGGACGAAATGCTAACAGTGCTTTCGAATAAAGTCTTGCCGAAAATTTGACGCTTAGAAAGCAGAATATTCCTGTTAACAGTAAGAAAAGTATGTTGTTTGTTGGAAAAGCATTTTTGTGTACGAGAGTGTAAATTGTAAGTAATACTATCCATTTACAACCAAAGCGCCAATATTTTCTTTTTGCACACATCTCTGTAGTACTGCTACACTCATTGTCAACTAAAATAATGATACCCACAGAAGATTCGTTATGCGGATAACCAATTGCAGCTTTTTGATAATTTTTTAACGACAGTTTACTATTACCAATTTTATCATATACCCAACCTAACGTACTATAAGTTTCAGCCAGAAGTAAGTGAGCACTTGGAAGAACTTCTCGTCGGAGCTTTAATATTTTGTCGTAGATATTGATAGTTGTTTCATAGTCACATTGTTGAATATGAGTATTTGCTATATTCTCGTATGTACTTGCTATTACTAATTGATTATTAATGTTCAAATGTTCATAAATTTTTAGTACTCGTTCGTAGTTATCGAGTGCAGCAGCATACTCCCCTTTCTTGGTACACAACATACCAATGCTGTTATAAGCCAAAATCATATTATCTAGATTCAGAGGATCTTCTTCTTGAATAAAAAGTCGATAGAAACGTTCTGCCTTTACATAATCACACTTATCAGTTAGGTAGTTTGCTAATATTATCATCGGTGGCATCTTGCGTAAACTTTCTTCGAATTGGTTTATTTGTGCTTCATAACGTTCATCAAGGTGAGTTTTTTCTAAGGATAATCTCACGTGCCACATATCATTGCCTAGATGATCTGCAGAAACTATCCGAAATAATGTTCCCATCGAAAACAATATATCTTCTTCATCAGGGAACAAACCTGCCTTTTTAATGAAGGCGTACGGTTTGCTGTGCAGCGTTGTATCTACTTCTATTTCGAAAAGCACCGATATCATTTTTGATGAGCCTCCTCCAAATATCAAGGCGACCTGTGAAGAATTGCTGGCAGACCAGAAAGTGTTTGTAGAATATATTTCGTTTACATTAGCCTTTATTTCGTCAAACTCACTTTTTGTTATACACTGACCGCGGTATACAGTAAATGATTCTTCATGATTATTTACAGTGAATTGTGCGTGCAGATCTGTTAACTGCCAATGGAGATTAGCAATAAAGTATCGAAACGCATAAATGAGTTCTATGTGCTCAGAACGACAGGCTTCATTCATCAACTTAAATAAAAACGAATTTCTGGTGTACCACCATACAGATAAAGACGGTGTGTAATTTTTTTCAAACTCATCTATTTTTTGTTGATCTTTTAGATTACTAGCTGCTAATAATCGACATTCGGCTATCATTTCAGTTTTTGCCTGTGCTGTTTCCGACATAGAAGTTAAAGTTGCTGCAAGTAAATGGAATTTCTCTGTATTGAAAGTTCGTAATGAAAGACCATGCGATTCCGAGCTCAGGTTAAATTTACTACATGGCAGTAAATGTTGTGATCCTGAACGAACATGATATTCAAGCTGGCTAAATAAACAACATTTATCAGTAATATAGTATACGGCTTGATCTGTAGTTATAGAGTGGCATTCAAATATTCGTTTATCAACAATATGAATACCTTTAATGTGTGAACATATGAATGGTTCTGGTTTCTGCTGCAAGTAACTAAAAATTCGGTCACAATCATTATTGGCTGTAATAAGAAGAGCAATGGGTATTTCTCTATGACTAAATATCCAGTCGGCGCATTCATCAAAAGTATATAATGTCACCAATGGCGATGTAAAGCGAAACCTACCGACGGGTCGACAATTCAGCGAAGTCTTATCCAAGATAAGATGAAAAAGACTAGCATCAGATGTGTCGAATGAAAACAAATTGCTTCGGTCGAAGACAACCACAGCTAAATTATTTCTTTCGGAAATATTCAAATCGAATATTGGAGCTTCGTCGATTGCATCACACATTGAAATATGCTTATACTGAAACAAGTATATTTGTTGATAGTTTGCTGTGCATACGTTAGACAGTGTTTTCGGTGCATATATGTAGTTGCAAACGATTTGTGAGTTGACGAAGAGTACATAGTTCCAAAATTGTGACGACACAGTTCCAGATATGATCATAAAAACGCTTTCGCCTATAACTGACGTTAAATAATCAAAGCATGTTTGTTCATCATTGAATTGCTTTATTATAATATCATTTATGAACCTGGGTAATATGAAGGACGTCACATTCAACCAAACAATAGAGCAGCCTTCGACGGGCAGACTTGAGCCGATGCTTTCTGAGATTGACAAGTTAGCCTTGCTAAATACATTAGTTGGTTGTTCCCGTCTTGATGAGTAGCTCGATACAGATATTACTGTGTTAGAGCTTGATTGCGCCAAATTTATTTTGTCTTCTGAAATTAAGTAAGCAGATGCTTCCATTTCAGTTCGCTCGTAACTGTTTCGAAGAATAAAGCTATTCAAAAAATTTTGATCTACAAAACAAAAGTATTCTTTATCTCGATGCTGTCACGAATTTCACAAAATCATCGTCCAAATTCGGTGTGGGTGTGGATTTACAGAAGATCCATGCCTGATGGTGTCGGTGGATGTGGGTGTGTGGTGCGGGTATGAGTGTGGGTGTGGGTGAGGAGTAGGGTGGGGATGGGGTAGAGCCTGTCGGATAGGATCCGGACCTGTACCCGACCGGGTTCGGGTAGGGTCCGGGTCTGAGAAGTTGTTTTTCACTGGGTCCGGGTCCGAGTTCGGGTATGATGATTTACTTTTCAGCGCGTCCAGATCCAAAAAATCATTGCAGAGAAATAATAAAAATTTTTGAATATATTTTCAGTTCTCATTCATTTTACTCAAAAAGTAACCTTAAACAAACTTATAAAAAATAGAAAGGGTGTGGGTGTGGGTGTCGTCGGGTTATCGACACACCCACACCCTTTCTATATGAAATGAGTACAAAACAATTTTTTACACAGCATTTATTTTATGTTCTTACACAATATTTGGAAAAAACCGACAATGATTCATTTCTTCCTATTATAATAATGTTTCTTTACGACCGATTACACTATGATGTTTCTTTTTTAATAGACAGTGCATTCCACTAAAAATGACACATTCAGATCGTGGCTTGAACTTGAATGATGTTTGGGCGAGAGTATCCGAAGGTATTGAACGTATATATCGAAATGAAGAAATGTCACCTCACGCCTATATGGAGCTTTATACGTAATTACAATATGATAATTTATTTTTATTTCATTTTCTGAACATTTTACTATAGTCATGTTTGCAATTATTGTACAAATACTACAGCACAAGCACAGCCATCACGACAATCATCAAGACCAGCACAAAAAGTAGGCAGTAATCAACGACAAAATACTGTACATGATGGAGCGAATATTGGTGGTGATGAATTGTATGCTGAATTGAAAAATTATTTAAAATCTTATTTGGAAAAAATTTGTGAAGTAAGCTTATTCGACTTAGAAAAGTTAAATAAAAATAAATTTATAAGATTATATGCATGTTTAAGTTAATGTTTACAATGGAAATTTATATTTCTTTATTTTTCTATCATGAAAATTTCTAGAATCTTATGATAATTATATGAATCATCATATTATGTAAAACAGAAATATATACTAAATTTTTATTTAAAATATTGTATTAATAGAATAGATCATACAAAAACAAAAGCATTTTATCAACACAAATCTATAAGTGTGATGGAATGTCCCCATAACAAAAATTTTCGAATATCAATAAATTAATATTGATAAAAAATTTTTTTTTATAAATTAAAGAAAGAAATCTTAATTGATAGATAAGATATAAAATTTATTCCTTTCTTTTTATTTGTAAAATTGTATGAATAATAATAATACATTATCGAACATGACATGTCACTTTTTAGTGATGCAAAGGAAGAAAAAACTCATGGATGTCATGTGAGTTAAAATACTAAAAACACTGTCGGTTTTTTTCAACTCATGAATGGTATATTTTCTTTCGAAGTTTCTTACTTCCTTCTTTGTACAAGCTGCTATTTTGAACAAAAAAAAAGCAATATACAATACTTTCTGATGAAGATCTCAGGAGAAGAGATGTCATACAAGATCGAAATATTCGAAATTATAGACAGTACGCAAAGAAAAATACATTGTACAAACAACTGCTACTGTTCAATTCTTTATCAGATATGAACAGTACTTTGTGGAAGATCATATTCATCTTGCCGAAAATAGATATTTTCCTATTTTCGTAGTTTTAAATTGTTCTTTCGAAAGAACAGATTTGGATAAAACTTGGATAATTGTTTTGATTGATTGGATAATCATCATACTTATATCAAATATTCAATGGAAGAAACTCAAAAAGTTTGTTTGATAATTGTTATAGTTTTGTAAGTCAATAATTTATTATATTTATAATATGAGAGAAACTTTATATGATGTCCGAACTTTTCCGTAGCAATAAAATATTTTATTCTTGTTTTTTTGTATTGATATCATTCGTGTACTTATAAGTATATTATTATGCTATTATGATAGTCAAGTTGACTGTAACATTTCAATATCGTCATTAGGATCATGTCAATAGTTATTCAATTATTTTATTGAATTTGAACTATTCTTTTAAATCTTTATAAAATTTGTATAGAAAAAAAATAATTTAGTTAAAGAATTTACTAAAAGAAAAATCAACTCAAAAAATGTATTGTTTAACAGATGAGCTAGTCATTTTATACCAATGAAAGTAAATTATAGACAGTAAAAATTTAGTGAAGCAGTCATAAATTATTGTCAAGGCTTTACATTTTACTTATGTTTTTTGAGACGCACTTAAAAGTATAAGCTGGAAATAAGTAACTCATGTGTAAAATCATACTATCGAGGACGACTTTGTTGTCATTTATTATTCCAATATCCGTTATAAGTTCTAGTAGAATTACTGACGGTCGAAGTCATGGAAAGTAATGTAAAGCTAAAAAAAAGGAAATGAAGTAATTAACGGAAGATATGATTTATCTTTGCTTCATCGTTAATGTCAGACAGTTCTATGGTGTTATGTAAAAATAAATACATTATCAAGATAATCACTTTATATATAATCTTATATCTTTTTGGCTTTTGTTTCTAGAAAGAATTTGATTTACAAGGCGAAGGTTTACTTCGTTTCTATGCCACAAACTGGGAATATTATCGATTTTCAAGTAAAGTAACAAATGGCTTTTGCCATTTTCTAAATCGACATAGGGTACGACGAGAATATGATTCAGGAAGGAGAGATATTTATGAAATTTTCACTGTAAGTAAAGTTAGATTCTTTATCTTTTCAAATTAATTATAATACTAACATCATTTTAGATGGCGATGGAAATTTGGCAACTTGTTTTCTTTCAACCATTGCAAAGTCAAGTAACATTAGCATGTCTTCAATTAATCAATGCCGAACGTCAAAAGGAAACCTTTAATACTCGATTTATTCCATATATGTCAAGCTTGAAACTTGAATTCAATTGAAGTTTCAACTTTCAAGCCTCAAATGAGCAGCACTTTGCAGAATCACCACTAACCTGCATTCTCAGACACACATCATCGCAGCTGGTGATGGTGCGGCGAAAGGACTGGCCAGAAAAGGACTGGCCACGAAACGACACACATCACATCGCACCTGGTGATGGTGCTGCGAAAGGACTGACCAGAAAAAACTGATCACGAGACGACACGGGTGTGGGTGTGGGTGTGATTAAAATGAAAAATAAAATCTACATCCACACCCGCACACCCCCTTTTACACTTTTACCGTTATCGCGCCGCTATGAAGGTTAGATAATATTGCGATGAACAGCACCATCATTCATCTCCACAACACCGTAATGAGCCGTTTTGAAGCTGTGGCGGCGCTATTCAATAAAGAAAAAGACGACATGGGGAGCGTGTCACATACTTATGGGGTGTCAGTGACAATTAAAATAATGCATTGTTTGTTCGTCACATAGGCACCATTACTACCGTTAGAAGTAAATGCGTGTCGAAATTTATTTTCTCATTTCTTTCCTCTAAAGAATTTTTTCACATAAACACCAAGAAAAAGAGAAGATTGATTTTTAAAAAGCGTTACGCTTACTTTCCTTCTGCAATAAAAAACAATGTTGTGCCATATAAACGATAGAGACGAATGAAAACAAGAAAAAAGCGTCCATTTTTCTTATTCGTTTTACTTATATTCAAGTACGTGAGAAAGATTGTTATTCTCTCTTCGTTAAGATGACTACTATATTAAACACCTATCCCTTGGAAAAAAAATTGATTCAGACTTTTTTCTTTCACATATCGAGTAAAAAAACAGAATAACATTTGAAATAGAAAGAGTTTTGTGCAACAGCATTGCAAGACGACAATATGACTACAAATAATGATAATATTTCTAACGAAAATTTGGTCGTCTGGCTTAATGAAACGGATGAATATCGTATGGCAGACAGTCAGACGATGTTACAAGCAAAAGTTTTTCATAACAGAGACGAATTTGTTGATTATATAACAAGTTTGAATGATCAAAAAAATCTGCTGATTATTTTTAGTGACAATATACAAGAAATTCTCTTTCTCATACATAGAATAGAACAAGTCAAATCAATTTACGTGTTAAATTCAAAAGAAGAAAAGAACAAAGACTGGACAAATCAATACAAAAAGTAAGAGCTAGTCAATGAAAGAAGCGAGCTATGAAGAAGGAAACTAATTTCATACTAAAGGTCTCTGTAAAGGGTTGAACTTTAATATTATAGGAAAAATTGATTTAATATACGTAAGTAAAAAGTTCCCCAAGAACAGACAATAGCTTGTAAAATATAATATAGATTTAATAATTAATTAATAATTATACAACTGACCTCAGATTCGGATTCTTCGTTCTTGGTTACCCTTCGGTCAAACCTTTTTCAAACCCTAATATTTCGATACGACATACATACATATTCATAAGAAAAAAGTTCCTGAAGAAAAATGCTTGTAAAATATAATATAGATAGTATTTTCGTTTTCTGTATCTTGTAGGTCAAAGGCATTTTCACTCTTTTCGACCATCTTTCAGTCAAACTTTCTTATGATCTTCGTCTAAGTGATGAAAGAATTGCATTTAATACTTTTACCAGTGCAACAAATGAAAGTGCTACTAATAATACAACTTTGAAGAGCACTGCTACTTCGCCGTATTCACTCAATACCAAATTTATGTACTTTCATATTCTCATTGATATTCTTCTAAAAATGTCCGATAACATCAATGCTACGTCCAGGCAAGATATGATTACTTATCTTACACAAGAGTACAATGAAAATCAAGCGACTAGAAAATTAATTGATGAATTCGATCAAGATTATGAACGTAGTAGTTCAATTCATTGGTATACAAAAGGTACATTCCTATATCGTTTATTGAATGAAGCTCTCCGTGACTCTGATTTTGATGCGTTATTTGCATTACGATCCTTTATTGTTGATCTTTATAAACAAATACTTCTGGAACATGAACAATTTCGCAATAACAATCTAACAAGTCGCTATAATTTTTCTCTGAATGTTTACCGAGGACAAGCGATTTCCAGAGAAGAATTGAGCATACTTCTTCAAAAGCAAGGCGATTACTTTTCGATGCAAAGCTTTCTCAGCACAAGTACGAATTCTGAAGTCGCACATGTATATTCAGGCGCAGGTACTGCTCATACAGATTTGAATAAGGTATGGATTCTGTACGAGTTTAAAATTGACACGCATTTAAATAATACCAAACCTTATGCTCGAATTAGTCATCTAAGTCAATATCAAGATGGTGCAGTTTTTCGTATTGACAGTATACGATTGGATGATGTGAATCAACGTTGGCATGCCCTATTAAGTTTATGCGACGATGAACGTTTCGATTTGTATGGTATAATGCAACAATATGCAGCCGAAATTATTGTGGATAGAGTTTCACCTGGTTTTTTACTTTATCAACAAGGAGATTATGCTAAAGCTCGAGAATATTTTCAAAAAATCTTAAACATCACATCTTTAGAGGACCGTGAGAAAGCTCATTGTTATCGTGGACTGGGCGCAGTAGCAGCAGAAGAAAACAATTATGACGAAGCATACAAGAATTTTACAGAAGAATATGATATATGGCACAAACTCGACGACGAAGTAAATCGTTTGGAAGTGTGTAAAAATATTGGAGACATACTATTTTATATGGGAAAATTTAAAGAAGCATTGGAATATCTTCCAACAACATTTGCCTACTTTAAATTAAAAGATTATGAGATGGAATATGCTCGCATCTGTGGTATGATTGGACATATTATGGATGTTAATGAACAATGAGAAAATTGTCTGATATGTTATGAGCTACAACTGGAGATGAGAGAACGAATATTAGAGCGAAATCATGAAGATATTGGAATTACTCATGCAAACATTGGTGCTGCCTATTGTAGAATGAAGAAATATAAAAAAGCAATTGAGCATTTTAGAGCAGCACTGAATATTTATAGGTATTCATACCAATCAGATCATCCGAATGTTCTAAAGGCTGAAGAAAACTTACGAAATGCAATCCATTTGTTAAATGAACCCAGGTGAATGATTACTGCGACTGTAAACGACCGTACACCGCCTTATATGCCAGCGTAAACGGCCTCTAACGCCATAATTACGACTGTATGCGGGTCCTAAATCGCCCGTTAGATAGTGATTGCATTACGGCCGTAAATCACCGTGTTCTATACGACAAGGGTGTGGGTGTGGATTTTCGGTACTTGGATATTCTGACCCACACCCACACCCAACCCACGCCCTACACCCACCCACACCTACACACGTTCACACTTATGTCTCACACTTCAGCAATATGCTGTAAAGTTCAGCCTGAATGGAAATATATTTTTTAAAAGGATTTGCTCTTGAATAGGGAGTATTTTTATAAACTTCCTTAATACTTTGTTAAACACTCTTGTCTATATATTGATAGCATCGTTCATCTGAAGACT